GCAGGACTGCAAAGTAGAGGATAACATCCAGGTGATGGGGATGGTGGCAAGAAAATAGTAGAGAACAAGGTAGTGGAAACAGATCTGGGGAGTGGGACAAGATGACTTGATGATCTTGTAGTATCTTTAGGAACATGCTTTGCAACTAACAGAGACCCCTGGCTCCTCGTGGGGCCTTGATAGTGGAAAAGGGGTCTCAGCACTGTGGATCTCCTTCTCTTGGCCCTAATCCCAGTTTTCACTGTATTTCCCCAAGGGTGGAGTGGCTCTTGCTCACTCTCCCTTCCCCAGGGAGCAGCTGTTCTACCTTTTGGAAGACCGTCACTCTCCTTCCTTTGGTTCCCCAGCCCACATGTCCAAACTTGACTCTTCCTGGAGAATACATCCACTGTCCCCCAGTGCTTTATCTTCCTTTCCCCTCATCTCGGCCTCCCTCCAATCTTGCTCCTGGCTCTCTTTTTCTATGTCATTATTGTTCTCTTTTTTATACCTGCACTTTCCAGTGGGTGACAGAATTAGGGGTTGAATTGTGTCTCCCTGAAAGATATGTTGAAGACCTAATCCCTGGTACCTATGAATGTGATGTTATTTGGAAATTGGGTATTTTCAAGCGTAATCAAGTTAAAATGAGGTCATTCATACCGGATTAGGGTGGTCTGGACTCCTAGTCCAATAATACTGGAATCCTTAAAAAGAGAGAGAAATTTGGATACAGAGACAGGGAGAAGCCCTTGTGAAGATGGAGCAGAGACTGGATTGATGCATCTACCAACCAAGGAATGCCAAGGATTGCCTGCAAACACCAGAAGCTAGAAGAGGCAAGGAAGCTTTCTTCCCTATCCTTCTGACGGAACATGGCCCTGTCAACAACGTGATTTCAGACATCTAGCTTCCAGAACTATGAGAGAGTAAGTTTCTCTTGTTTTAAGCCACTCTGTTTGTGGCAATTTGTTATAGCGGCCCTAGGAAACAAATATAGAAGTTAAGGGTGTCAAGGTGGGAGGCAACACCATGGAAAGGTTATGATTTTTTATAACCATGCTATCATATATTTTATGGGATTGTATATTTTCAAGATTGCTTTTGTATCTACTTTGGGTTAAAAGACCCAAGTTTGAGCATCAGTGTTATATCTGGAATGTAGCATGTAATAGCACCTAATTCAAGAGGCTGTGAGGAATAAATGGAATAATGTCTGTGAAACTGTTTAGTAAACTAAGGTCTGTAGACAAGTTGAAATTAGTACTATTATAACTATGTGGAGGGGCAGAAAACACCCTGGACTAGAGAATGGAAATCTAGGTCCTTGGTCTCACTAACGACTGGATCTGCCAACCGGATCTTTGTATTAGTGGCCAGCACCCTCTTCAGGTGTATCAGAATGGTTAAACAGTACTCTCATCCCCCAGGTACAGAAGGAGTGGTCATAGGTCAAGGTTACAGACCAGGTGGGAAGACTGCTCCAGGCTTAAACCTTGCCACAGAGTATCCCTTCATTCACTAAGAACTATGCAAACAGAGTAGGAGAGTGAAACCAAGATGAGTAAGAGCTGCTTCTGCCCTCAAGGAGTTCACAGTCCACTGCCCTCTGCTCTGCTGGTGTGTGCACACAGCCTCCAGGAACAGCCCAGATGCCTGCCTGGGAAGGTGTCCTGGGGAAGGTGAGGTGAAGCTGGGCTATGAAAACCGAGTGGAATTTCAAGACATCACTCTTTTGTAGGAAGAATTAGGGGATGGTTCAAATTAGCAAATGTTCATTAATCAACTACCTAATTCTAGGGTCTGTGCTAAGTGCCAGGGGTAAAGAAAGGGAGAATGTAAGTATGAAATTAACAAAAGTCAGGCCTGGAAGATCTCCCTTTCCAGTGCGGACGCCAAATCTGCATACAATACGGAAACCTGTCAGAGTGTGTGAGGTCGTTGCTTAGGGCTTTGAGTATCGGAAATTGGGAATTTGGTCTGCCGAGGGCGATTCTGAATGAAGGTCCTAAGGGAGGTTTCCTGTGGGTTCAGGCCCGCGTGTCCCCAGTGATCACCTAAAAGGCAGATGAGGGCTGCTTATGTAATCGGCGGCGTCTCGCGGGCGGCTGGGGGAACAGGATGGGGGAGCCGGGCCAGGGCTGACTGCGCGCTCCTGGAATCCGCGCTCGGGGCCCTGGCTCACCTGGACCGACACGTGGGCCCGCCCTCGGCTGCGGAGACACGCGCGCGGCAGCCCGGCGGCTGCAGGACGACTCTCCACGCCTTCTGTCTTCCAGCCATCTCCCTACTGGAACCGGGAGGCTGTGAACGCCTCGGGAAGCCCGCCCGCAGCGCCTACCCCGCCCACTGCCCGGCTGAAGGGAGCCGTATTGGAAGGAACCCACAGTAATCTTGAACTCTGGCCCAGATCCTGGGTCTGGTTTTCCGTAGGTCTTCCTGTCATGCCATGGCTCTGGATTTCCAAGCCCCTCGCCCCTTTTAATTTTTCGGGATCGCCGTGGAAACTGAGGCAGGCCTTCGCTGAGTTTAACTTTGATCCCTCACAGGGCAACAATATAAACAATAGAGATTTTTGTTCGGAGTGGTGTTGGTGAGGATTCGAGAAGAGGAAGCATCTGGTCTTGCGATTGATTTTGGTTTCTGAATATGAGGAAGTATTAAAGGCAGAGTGACTTGTCTTTGAGAGGGAAACTATATCCATCCCCCACTCCAGGGGAAACCAGTCTTTGGTGAGACTAAAAATCTTTTCAGCACCCTTTAAAGGATGTCTGAGTTCTGAGTCAGATTCACACCCAAATATTGACTGTGGAAGACGACATTTAGAGAATGTCCTTTTAATCTTTTTAAAGTGTCAACATTTTTATTATGGAAAATTTCAAACATACACAGTAGAGAAAATAATTTGATGACTCCATTTAGCAGTTATCAACTCATGACCAATTTTATTTCATCAATTACCTCCCACTCTCCTTCCTCCCTTTTTCCACTGTATTGCTTTTAAACAAATCTCACACATCATATTTCATTGGTGAAAACTTAAGTATGCAAAAAAATTAAGAAGTACAATGATTACATTGTAAAAGTGCACAACTCTTTAATGTAAATGTACAATTTTTAACTTTCTGTCTCTTCCTTGTAGAAATTGTATTACAATTAATTTGTTCAAAGCAGAATGTAAACCAGTTCACCAATGTCTTTGGTTGATATTTCCTTCAAGTCTTTTAATCTGTAGGTTCCCTTTCTCCTGTTTTTCCTGGCAGTTTATTTGATGAAGAAAACTGGTCATTTGTCCTGTGAATTTTCCTAAACTGCCATTTGCTGACTGCGTTTCTGCAGCATTGTTAAAGCAATTCTGTTCGATCCAGAACTCCAATGAGTTTCAGGTTCATTATTTTCAAGAAGTACATCAAGTTGTTACTTTCTGCTGTATGACATTGAAGGCACATAATGCTGGGTTCTCTTTTTTGATGTTGATAAGTGGGTTCAGGTGTTGTCCGCCTGACCCATCCTTATAAGGTTCCCTATCAGCTTGTCACATAATATTTCTAGTAGCTGTTGGTAATTATTGCATAGGTCCATTATTTCATTAGGTGTTACAAAATGGTGATTTTTTTTATCCTTTCTTCATTTATTAGCTGAAGTTTGTAATAAAGAACTGTTCTCAAATTATTTGGTTATCCTTGATGTATTTGTATAAAAATGGTAGCATAAATATATAGTTTTTCTCTTACTAGTTTTCAGAAAGTTGAGTGGGTTCCTAGCTTCCTCCAAAAATGACCAATGAGTTTACTTTTTAGTTATTATGATGAACTGATGGAATTATAAAAACATATATTATGTGTTTCAATCAATTGCAGTTATTATTCTTACTGACACTAAAAATATCCTGTCTTTGGCCCTTCAAGTTGGCTCCTGAGTCATTTCTGCCTTGACTCCACTAGCTTCCTCACAATGTTTGGACAAGATGTTTCAGAGTCATTTTGTATATTTCTTCTCCCAGACCTAGAATTATCCAGTTCTCTAAGGAGCATTTTTCCTTTCTGTGGCAAATAATATTTAGAGACACCATCTGTGTATAAGCAGTACTCATTGTATCCAATTAGACCATTATTAGGTCTTCCTTATGAAGAGAGCTAAAAAAAACATTTTATTCCTTTTTAAGAGAAAATACATCATGAGTTTATGCTGATTTTCCAAGTCAAATTTGGGATTATTATGTTTTTATTTCTCTTTTTATATGTGATAATCATGAGAAAAGCTAATCTTTTCTTTGAGGCTGAAAAATCTTAATAATATTTTTACCAAGATAATAACTGGGAATTTTAAGTTTTATTTGCAATATTTTTGTCATTAGGATATATCCCACTAAGGATATACAGTCAAATGACTATGTTTTAAAGTCACTTAAAATAACTTCTCTGGGTGTTTAAGCTACCAGTTACACACACAGGTTCAGTCTGTCCTGTTTTAATTTAATTTAGTTTTATAATGATGCAAAACATTTACATCCCTTGTGTCTGTGTCTCAACCAGGACATAGCCGGACGCTTCTCATCGCAGTGTTTTCTCCATCACCCCCTGTTGATTCACATTTGGGCTGTTTTCAGTCTAGTCCTGTTACAAGCAGTGCTGCACTGAATAGCCTTCTGTGCAGTCTTTTCATGTATTTGTGGCTTTCTTTTCAATATAGGCAAATTGGGGGAAAGAAGACTGTAAGAACCAAGAAGAGAGAGACATTTAAAGCAGGCTCTGGGACGTCGGGCCTGGACTAGGAAGCGCGAAGAGTGCAACATTCCTACAGGGCTCCTACAGGCCTTGCTTCAACGCTACCAGCTGCAGCACATTCCAAAGTGTGGGCAGTAACGGGGCGGAGACGGACAGGAGGCAAAGGAACAGCTCCAGTGCTCAGGCTGATTTGGGGACGGAAAACAAGCGACTGAAAAAGTAGACGATCTGCTTGCTCCGGGAAGGATGTGTGCAACGGGTAGATGTGGTTGCTCGCGGTGGTGTCGCAGAAGACTACCTCCCTGCACTAGCGATCGGCGCAGACGCCCGCTTTCCTCGGACGCACGGGGAGATCCCCCCAGGTCCTGGTCTCGGTGAGCTCCGGGCACTGCGGAGCACAGGAACTGAATAAGGATCGCCTGCCACCAGGAAGCCTCGCCTGGGGGAGGGTGGGAGGTTTTAGCACCAAGACCACGCCCACCACCAGGCCCCGGCCCCGTTTCTCGGAGCTCCGCCTCCCAGATCTCGCGGCCGACGGAGAGGCTGGGCTAGCTCAGCCTTTAAGCCGACTGCGCAGTAGCGCGCGGGGCTGGCGGGCTCATCCCAGCCGTTGCGAGAAGCTAGGTTCAGCGTCACTGTCTTCAGAACGTGGGAAACGAAGAGGTCCGCGTGGGCCAAGGCCGCATCCAGTGTAACGAGGGGGCGCTTGGGGAAAAATGAGGAGGAGAATTAGGGGCAGCCCCGGGTCAAACGGTCCAGTTCCTTCCCTCTAAGCTCTCTAGATGCAGCTGGAGAGAAGCGTTCCCTGTCCAACCGCGTCCTCATTGTCCCCAGAGGAGTCCTAGCTCCCTCCTCCCTAAATTAATCCCTAAGTTTCACCATATGCTGCTCTGTGGATGCATAGGGGAGGCTCCCCACTGGTGATGGTAGGAGCGTATTATTTCAGCACCGAAAGCTGAGACTTCCCTCTTTCTTCCGCATTTCTGTGGTCTTTGATTCTCATAAAAAACAAGATTTGGGGTAGTATAAGAGAAGTCGAGGCTTAGACTTGAGGAACTCGAGTGATTTCCTAACCTTCAGAGACAGGGATGAGTGGAGGGTTGGAATACACGAAGAGGGATGGTCAGCCCCCACCCCACCACACACGCACACTTTTCATTGGATGTGCACATTGATTTAGTTTATCAAAACAAGTAGGGCCCCCGTCCACCCTCTATCTACAATGGCTTGAGTAGAGGTGGTTCCAGTCTCTACTAAAGACAGGAATGGGGCCCTCGCTCTATCCGGATTTGTTATCTCACACCCTCTTACTGAAATATTAATTAATTTTCCCTTGCTGAATGTGAGGGTTTGAGGGTAACGGAGGATGTGGGAATTTGGGGAAGAGGAAACAGGAAGGTCAGGTCCACGGGACGGGTTGGGCGGACTGTGACCCAGGCAGGAATATACTCATCTCTAGACTTCAGGTCTGAACGGCTTGCCTGGGTAGAGTTGTTTTTTTTAAAAAAAGAAGGACCCGAAGGAGTCAGTTACAGGGACTTTCTTTACCCACCAGGGGGCCCCAGAGCCAAAGCAATACGAAGCCAAGCATGGGGCGAGGTGCTAGGCGTCCAGGGTAGTCTTTTCCGCTTTTGGTTCGAGAACGCTCGCATCCCTTCTGCCAGTCTCACACCCCCACCATGGCCATCATCAGTAGCCCCGGCCTTCCCCCACGCTCCACTCTCTCAGCTCGGCCCCGCCCACTCAGGGGCCCTGGACCGCTCTCGGCAGCTTCCTCAGTGCCGCCTGGGCTCTTCCGTCCACACAGCGCCAGGGCTCCCACCCGGTTCTCAGAGCTGGCTCAGTTGAGGTAAATCTCAACTAAAGAGATCCAGCTTCGGGCCAGGAGCAATGCTGGGGCGTGGGCTTCCCAGCATTGAGGCCCGAAAAGGCAGTGGAGGGAGCTGAGGGGTGGGATTTGGTGATGCTGGTTGAGTTGTCTGTCATCTAGAAGGAGGAAGGGAAGGAGAAGAGGTCCGTGGGAGCAAAGCAGCCATAATCCTCCTTTGCCGGGAGGTGCGCTGAGCTCTAGACACAACAGCAAGGATAAAGGTACATCTGAACAATTTAGGAGAAGTTGGTGAAGGAAGGGGTGGACATTTCCTTCCTAGGAGAAGTGCAATTTGAGGAGTAAGAGGAGATGGATGAGATGCCCTCATCTCCGTCCCTGCCCAGGCCATCTTAGCACCTGAATTCTTCAAGTTTTCAAGACAACCCTTCCTCCCCTCTCCCAGCTCCCAGGCCCTTGTAAGGTCTCTAAATCGTCCTTTTTGCTCTGTTCCCTTTCCCTTTCCTCTCAGGCTGAAACTGAAAGAAGCCTTGATCTTGGATGGGAGGAAGCTCCTTCTGCAGTGCAGTCTTCTTTCCCTACAGTCATTCGACCAGTCCCATCTGTGGATAAGGCATTTTGACCCCTGTCCTCCCTCTACACAGCGGCAAGCCTCAGGACTCCTGCCTGAAGAGGATGACTCAGACTCTGAGGTTTTGTTCTTTTAGAATTATTTTTCTCTGATTGATAGGCATCCTAGAAATTGGGGAAAGAAAACCAATTTTGGTCTTGATAACCAGAAGCTGCAAGTTAAAAACAAAAGCAAACACCCTTCCACTATCAATAAGAACAATCAGTTCTCAGTGAGGAAGCTCCCACTACCCCCGGGGAAATGTGGAAACCTGTCAGGTTGTCCCTGTGATGGCAGGAAGTGGATTCTTTACTAGCCCTAGTGCTTCCTGGGGCCTGGGATGTGAAACATTTAACAGGGCACAAGGCAGGGAGCATAGTGCAGACTTGCCCTCTGCAAACACCTCTTGAGGAGAACGCTGGTGGAATAAAATCCCTAAATCCTGATCTCTGGCTTTGGAATGCATTTATGTAGTTTTTGATTTAGGCAAACTGAGTTCTAATTCTGCGTCTTCCACTCAATAGTCACATGACCTGAGTAAATTACTTCACCTCCCTGGAGTTGCTGGGACCTTACTTACCTGTGAATTGCCAATAATAACACCTACTTGGAGGACAGTTGTGGGGATTTTAAATGTCACGTGTGGGGTGATTAGCACACAGTGGCCCTTTAAGAAATGGTATTTTATAGTGCTCCTACCTCAGATGGCAGAACCATCTCTGATGGTTTGGCATGGACTCTTGTTCTAGAGGGTCCCCAGCCCTTGGGCCTTCCTGACATCACACCCAGAGGTATTGTCCCAGAAACCTGGCATGTGGCCAAAGGCAGCTAATGCTCCAGAGACTGAGCTATCCCCATCTCCTCCTTTTCCCATCTTTTCCTCCCTTACCCTGAAGAATGAAGAAATAACTTTATAATTTTCTATTAGTTTTGAAACTTTTAAATTGGTCACTATTTTGTGAGTTACATGAATTTAAAATAATAAAGTATATCTATATGCTTGTTCTTCTCAGTTGGCTGAGGAATGGGCATTCCCCCATAGCTGGCCAGCAGGTAATCATAGAGACAGAATTCTTCCCCTTTGCTTTTCTCCCTTTCCCCAAATGGCAGAAAGAGCTATCTGTCCCCACTCATAGCTCTTCAGGTAGTTTTCATTCATGCTTTTGAAAAACCTGCTTTTATCTTTCTTCCTATCAGCCTGGAGGTTGTGTGAGGGGAGAGAATGGAATGAGATGGAGAGACTCCAGAGAGGTTGAGCAAGAAACCCAGGACAACACAGCACAACACTGATTTGAAACGCCTTGGAGAAGTGGTAGCTGTCATATTCTTAGTGGACCAAGAAGGTATAAAACACTGAGAGAAATACTTTTTCTGCTCCCCTTGAGGGGGCTGTCTAGCTCAGCCCAGGAGAAATATAATCTGAGCTACAAATATCATTTTAAAATTTACATTTAAATTTAGATAAAGCATTTTAATTTAAAATAGTCACATTAACAGAAAAAGTAAAAAGAAATCAGTAAAATTAATTTTAAGTATAAATTCTATTAATCCCAGTATTTAAAAAACACTGTCATTTTCAACATAAAGTACAATAAATTATTGCTTTATTTACATTCTATTTTCATACTACGTCTTGTGAAATCTGATGTATTCTCCACTAACAGCATACTTGAATTTGGACTAGCCACATTTCAAGTGCCCAGCTACATCTAGTCCCTTCCTCACATCTGACAATGAGGAGAAAGTGCTGCGGACAAAAGATGCTCTGGGGCCTCACCCTTCTGAATAAGGCCTGCTGTCGTGCCAACAACCAGGAGCAGGGTGTGGCAAGAGGGGTTCCCACCCTCTAAAGCCTGGATGGCAATCCCATCCCTCCTCTTAGAGAGCAGGCTTAAGAGGAGAAAGGAGATAGAGCTTCTGAAGTAGGAGGCTAGGTCTGCCTTCTCCGCCAGTGCTGACAAGGAGGGCTGTGGACTTGTGTGTCCCTGCTGGAAATAGGGGCAGGTAACAAAAGACTTCATGTGGTTGGAGGATGAGCCCAGAATCTGGGGACAATGGCCCTTGCCTGGCCTGGGCCCTGTTGGGGTGCTGGACTGGGTGAGGAGCTATAGGGTGGGATGCTCAAGTGGGGGGCTTCCTTGGGCCTCTGCACCCTTCTAGTGCTCTGTTGCTCCAGGAGAGCACAGAATGGCCCTGGGGATAGGTGGGGGAGAAGCATGGGAAGTTTGCCTAAGAGCAACCAGCCCAGCCATGGGGAACACTGAGCAACCCTCTTTTCAGGGGTTCATATATCTAGAGCCAGAATGGAGGAAACTGTCCCTGAGCACTTTGCCTTCAAGGCCCTTTGGGGTCTGCCACCGCCACCTCCACACTTAAGTTCTAGACCAAGCTGTTCCCCCACTGACCTTTAGACTGAGGAACATGGAGATTGGGCCAGCTGAGTGAGTAGACTCCCCAGCATCTCTCCATCCCCTGGGCTTTAATAGGACCAGGTGTGTGGTGGTGGCGGGAAGGGGAGAGAGAACAAATCACACTCATCTCCAACACAAGGTGCGCCTTTGTAGTCCCCTGCCAGCCCCCCAAATCTAGCCTGAGATGAAGGGTAGGGGATCCCTTCATGGAAATTCTAAGCTGGAATTGAACTATTTTAAAACCTGAAGTGACTGTTGCTGTATTGGATGAGATTACACCCAGTGGGATGGAAGGGCTGGACAGAGCAGAGAAGTTACTGTAGGAAAGAACAGTTCAAACCAAATTACAGACTAAAACAAAATACTGTTCCTTGTTATGCCTGGCAGGTGGAGAGTCCTGGCTGAATGGGTGGACTTCTTGATCAGTACCCTGAACCTCCTTAGCCACAGCATGTGGGGAGAGGTGTGTGTGTGTGTGTGTGTACGGGTGGGGGCAGGGGTCTTCTTAGAAGAAAACTCCATCCAGCTGTGTGCCCTCCTGGCTTGGACAGCTGCAGCCTTTGCAGTGAAGGGAATCCTTACAAATATCCAACCTTCTTAATGGTTGCAAACCCAGCCAAGTTTTTGAAAAATATCTGATCAAACATTTAAAGCCCAAGTTATGCATTTCTGCTCTGACTAATTTCTGTTTCCCTGTAAGGCTAGAAGAGTGGTTTCCCTAGAATATCATTGACTTTGAATCTGTTTTTTCTTTTTCTGTTGTCAGGAATAGACGGAGCTCCTGTGTGTACCAGAGAAGTAAAAGCCACTGCTCTACATCACACAGTCCCTGCCAGCAGGCCCCAGGAAAGCAAGGCCCTGCCTCTGTCTGCTCCACCACACAGCTGAGTACCAACTTTCCAAGACAGCCACTGTACACAGCAGGGGCACCTCTGTGGCTCTCATGGGAGTCAGGGAGACAGACAAATAACACATGATGAAGACAGAGTGTAAGAAATGCCTGAAATGGGTACATGGAACGTGCTCAGCAGAAAGCCTGGCATTTGAAAGGCCCTGTGATTGTTTCCAGCAGGTAGGAGTAACAGTCCAGTTTCCATGGGCTGACAGGGGAAGAATCCCCTACGGGTAGGTGAACAGAGAAGGAGATGGCCTTTTCCTTGCCTCTGAATTTCTTCAGGCTCTCTGTAATGGAGCCAGGTCTTCATTTTGCTTCACTGAGTTTTTCTCCAGGTCCAGAGGAACAGGGATTGGGCTGAGAAAGCAAAACTCTTAGCTTTTAGGAAAATATGATTCATCTGTGGGTGGTGAGATCAGGAAATGGGTGCAGGGGAGGATAGGCTGTGATGAAAGGGATCAGGGGATGGGGTCCTGGGGTTGGAGAGAAAGTCAGGGGATAGCTTGGGTGCAGTTAGGAGGCCAGGGCTAGGGATGCAGGGTGGGGGATGAAGTGGGATGCAGGGAGATATGGAAATGAAGAGGGAGATGGGGACAGAGAAGGAGAGAAGACAAAGGGGGTAGGGGTAGGGAGTAGGGACTCAGGAGCCATTCAGTTGAGCAAGGGGTCATGCATGCAGGTAGTGCAAAGAAAGAGAAGAATTTATGCCAGCAATAGGAACCTGAAGAAAACAGATCCTCTTTAGCAACCAACCTACTTACTAATACCCTCAGTTTAGGTCTTCTTATCTGCAGCCAAAGTGTTTAACTGCAAAGTTAGAGTGGGTGGAAATTTGTGAGGGAGGCTTGTTGAGTGTCTTTGAATATGTGTTGAGCATTGTAGGAGAAATGAGTCAGTAGACAAAGTGCATTCAGGATAGCCTGTCATACCTGCAGAACTTTGATGTCCTAGAAGAGAAAGAAACAGCACAGCTTCAGCACTTGGCTGACTCACTGGAGCTAAAGACGAAAGTGCACACCCTGCCAGGTGGGCAGAGCAGGTAAAGTGAGGACACCCCCAAGCTCCCTTCTCCCTACCCACCCACCATTAGGGGCTCACCCAAGAACTGCCTGATATGCCAGTAGGCAGGGAAATGGTTAGACCTCAAGAGGAACTGCTTGAAGAAAAGGGGAAATAGCTATGACAATGAGATTTTGGAGATGAATTTTGTCTCTGGGGTGAGGAGGTGACAAGAGAGTGGCTGGAATGGCTTTGCACGGCCTTTCTTGAAAGAAAGAAATGGATTCCTGAACTGTGGAGAGAGGGAAATCAGGGACTGAGCTTATTTTACCCATCAGCTAGGCCTGCACTGTCCAAAATGGTAGCATCAGCTAGCTTCATGTAACACCTGAACACTTGAAATGTGGTTAGGATGATGAAGAATTAAATTTTTAGTTCTACTGAATTTTCACTAATCCACATTTAAATTTAAAAATGTAAGCAGTGTAAAGTACTTTTTCCATTAAACAAACTATGTTGCTTTGATAGGAGTACATATAACTTCAACCATTGAAAATTTAGTGTCTGAATTGAAATTTGATACATAAAATATATACCATATTTCAAAGACTCAGTACCAAAAAGAAAATCATAAAATATTTCATTAATACTTTAAAAATATTGGTCAACAGCTTAAAATGACAGTATTTTACATATGTTGCATTAAATAAAATATTTTCTTAAAATTAATTTTACCTGATTCTTTTTATTTTTTGAAAGTGGCTAGAAAAGTATTTTAATTGTATATGTAAATTATATTTTAAATTTAAGTAGCTCACAATGTAACTCTAAATTACATATGTGGCTTGAATTATATTTCTAAATTTTATAAGTATGGTGTGTATTATGCTTCTAAATTACCCACGTGCCTTACATTATATTTCTGTTGAATAGCACTGAGCTAGGTAGGGTGATAGGGACAATCTCAGATAACCTGCCAGGTGGTAGGCACTCTGACGTGTGACCAGGGATGGGCTGCTACCTTTTTGCATGCCGCTGGGCCCCCAAAGGACTCTCACTTAGAGCAGGGAGCATCCGGGATAAGCTTCCTGAGGCGTTGCTTCCCTTTGCTTCCTCCCAACCCAGCCAGTTTCTCTGTGACAGGAGGAAATTCTCCTCCTTCAGGACCTGAGGCAGCTGCGTGAATTCTGAGGCGATCTTTTGATTCTCAAGTTCCACCTGCACCTGGAGGGAGGTCAATGGACACTCAGGTGATGGAAGGATTACCTCAAAGTTCCTTCCAGTCCATTTTCTTCCATTTTTCTATTTTATTAAGTCCATGCTGAGTACCAATGCAGAGCAATGTGCTCCAGGCAGACCTGGAGGAAAGACAAGGTGAGGAAAATTAACTTTTAAAAGCACTTACTATCTGCTCACTTTTAGTTTTAGGTTTCTTACATATATGTTTATCATTTTTGCCTTCAGGGGTCTAAGTATCTAACACTTAAAACCTAAGTATCTCGTACTCACATTTTCAGAAAGCATTTCCGTTTATAATATGCTTCCACATAGATTTTTCCTTTGATGCACAAAAAAATGGGTAAAGATATTGGGTGGGTTTACAATGTCTTCATTCTCCAACCTTGGGATCAGTCTCTAGTTAGGGAGGGGCTGTGAGGGTCACAGCTGGGTCTTAAACCGGTATTTCTGATTCTAAGACCAGGACCAGTCATTCTCACATGACCTGCCCCCAGGTGGGGGAGACTGACACAGCTGACCAACTCCAAGAATCCAGGGCTGGACGTGGAAGGTGCTTGGATGCGGCAGGCCAAGTGCTGCCGAGGAGGACAGGACACGCGCAGCACAGCCTGACCCCGATGCCACCATTCTCTCCACCCCGTCCCCCCCCACTACACTCCTCTGTTCCGGATCTCTGTTTCTTTGTTATGGGGTCTTTTTCTTAATGGTCGTGTAATAAGGCTAAAGATTCTAGGAGCTTTCACAGAGATGTTTCTGCTTCTGAACTCATGGGACAGACAGCAGATCCGAGTTTCTTCTTTCATGAAGACACTGATCCTCTGTTTACCTCACGACTTCCTTGTACTATTGCCTTCTCCTTTTGCTCATAACCTTGTCCTGCAATTGAAGCTGCCCCTGTGGGGAGAGAGATGTTTTGGCAAGCTGTGCCTGGAGTTCTCACTATCCTGATTTCTCAGGATGGTGGGTGAGGTTCACCAGGGGCAGTCTTGGCATAATTATTAATAGAACCCCCTTTGCTGTGCATGCTGGGGAGTGGTGGGAGTGAAGGGGGAAGGAAAAATCTGGAGCCTAAAGGGCCTAAAAGAGGAATGTTGTCATAAATTATAACTACTCATGACGAATATTTGGATGGTGCTTTGGGATTATCAAAGAACCCCCAACAACTTTCCCTCATTTGTCATACCAACAATTCTTTTTTTAAATTTTTTATTGTTATTTTTTTTGGTATTATTAATATACACTTACATGAACAACATTGTGGTTACTAGAATACCCCCATTATCAAGTCCCGCCAACACACCCCATTACAGTCACTGTCCATCAGCACAGTAAGATGCTATAGAATCACTACTTGTCTTCTCTGTGCTATACTGCCTTCCCTGTACACCCCATTTTTATTATGTCTGCTAATCATAATGCCCCTTTTCCCCTTTATTCCTCCCTTCCCACCCATCCTCCCCAGTCCCTTCCCCTTTGGTAACTGTTAGCCCATTCTGGGGTTCTGTGAGTATGCTGCTGTTTTGTTTCTTCAGTTTTTTCTTTGTTCTTATACTCCACAGATGAGTGAAATCATTTGATATTTGTCTTTCTCTGCCTGGCATATTTCACTGAGCATAATACCCTCTAGTTCCATCCATGTTGCTGCAAATGGTAGGATGTGTTTTCTTCTTGTGGCTGAATAGTATTCCACGGTGTGTATTTACCACATCTTCTTTATCCATTCATCTACTGATGGACACTTAGGTTGCTTCCATTTCGTGGCTATTGTAAATAATGCTACGACAAACATAAGGCTGCATATGTCTTCTTCAAACTGGACTGCTGCATTCTTAGGGTAAATTCCTAGGAGTGGAATTCCTGGGTCAAATGGTATTTCTATTTTGAGTTTTTGAGGAACCTCCATACTGCTTTCCACAAAGGTTGAACTAATTTACATTCTCACCAGCAGTGTAGGAGGGTTCCCCTTTCTCCACAACCTCACCAACATTTGTTGTTTGTCTTTTGGATGGTGGCCATCCTAACTGGTGTGAGATAATATCTCATTGTGGTTTTAATTTGCATTTCTCTGATGATTAGCAATGTGGAGAATCTTTTCATGTGCCTGTTGGCCATCTGAATTTCATCTTTGGAAAATATCCATTTTTTAAGTGGGTTATTTGCTTTTTCTTTGTTGCAAAGTGTGAGCTCTTTGTATATTTTGGATGTCAACCCCTTATCAGGTATGTCATTTATGAATATATTCTCCCGTACTGTAGGATGCCTTTTTGTTCTACTGATGGTGTCCTTTATTGTATATAAGCTTTTTAGTTTGATATAGTACCACTTGTTCATTTCTGCTTCTGTTTCCCTTGCCCGAGGAAATATGTTCATGAAGAAGATGCTCATGTTTGTATTCAAGAGAGTTTTGCCTATATTTTCTTCTAAGAGTTTTATGGTTTCATAACGTACATTCAGGCCATTGATCCATTTTGAGTTTTCTTTTGTGTATGGAGTTAGATGGTAATCCAGTTTCATTCTCTTACATGTAGTGGTTCAGTTTGCCAACACCAGCTGTTGAAGAGGCTGTCATTTCCTCATTGTATATGCATGGCTCCTTTGTCATATATTAATTGACCATATATGCTTGGGTTAATATGTGGAATCTCTGTTCTGTTCCACTGGTCTATGGGTCTGTTCCTGTGCCAGTACCAAATTGTCTTGATTACTGTGGCTTTGTAGTAGAGCTTGAAGTTGGGAAGTGAGATCCCCGCTGCTTTATTCTTCCTTCTCAGCATTGCTTTGGCTATTTGGGGTCTTTTGTAATTCCATATGAATTTTACAACTACTTGTTCTAGTTCATTGAAGAACGCCATCAGTGTTTTGATAGGGGTTACATTGAATCTGTAGATTGTTTAGGCAGAATGGCCATTTTGACAATTCTTCCTACCCAAAAGCATGGGATGAATTTCCATTTATTGTTGTCCTCTTTAATTTACCTTAGGAATGTCTTATAGTTCTCAGGGTATATGTCTTTCACTTCCTTGGTTAGGTTTATTCCTAGGTATTTATTCTTTTGGATGTAATTGTGAATGGGATTATTTTCATGATTTCTCTTTCTGCTAGTTCATCATTAGTGTATAGGAATGCAACACATTTCTGTGCATTAATTTTGTATCCTGCAACTTTGCTGAATTCAGATATTAGTTCTAGTAGTTTAGCAGTGGATTTTTTAGGGATCTTTATCTATAATATCATGTCATCTGCAAACATTGAGAGTTTGGCTTCTTCCCTACCAATCTGGATGCCTCTTATTTCTTTGTTTTATCTGACTGCCACAGCTAGGACCTCCAATACTATGTTGAATAAAAGCAGGGAGAGTGGGCATCCTTGTCCCCACTCATGTGTCTTGTTCCCTATCTTAGAGGAAAAGCTTTCAGCTTCTCACCGTTAAGAATGATGTTGGCTGTGGGTTTTTCATATATGGCCTTTATTATGTCGAGGTACTTGCTCTCTATATCCATTTTGTTGAGAGTTTTTATCATGAATGGATGTTGAATTTTGTCGAATGCTTTTTAAGCATCTATGGAAATGATCATGTGATTTTGTCCTTCATTTTGTTGATGTGGTGGATGATGTTGATGGATTTTCAAATGTTGTACCATCCTTGCATCTCTGGGATGAATCTCACTTGATCATGGTGTATGATCTTGGTGTATTTTTGAATAAGGTTTGCAAATATTTTCTTGAGTATTTTTGCATCTATGTTCATCAGGGATATTGGTCTGTAGTTTTCTTTTTTTGTGGGGTCTTTGCCTGGTTTTGGTATTATAGTAATGCTGGCTTCATAGATGAGTTTGGAAGTATTCTCTCCTCTTCTATTTTTTTGAAAAACTTTAAGGAGAATGGGTATTATGTCTTCTCTAAATGTCTGATGAAATTCATCAGTGAATCCATTTGGTTCTGGGATTTAGTTCTTGTGTGGTTTTTTGATTACTGATTCAATTTCATTGCTGATATTGGTCTGTTTAGATTCTCTGTTTCTTCCTTGGTCAGTCTTGGAAGGTTGTATTTTTCTTGAAAGTTGTCCATTTCTTCTAGGTTATCTAGTTTGTTAGCATATAGATTTCCATAGTATTCTCTAATAATCCTTTGTATTTCTGTGGTGTCCGTCATGATTTTTCCCTTCTCATTTCTGATTCTGTTTATCTGTGTAGGTTCTCTTATTTTCTTAATAAATCTGGCTAGGGGTTATCTATTTGGTTTCTTTTATCAATGAACCAGCTCTTGCTTTCATTAATTTTTTTTATTGTTTTATTCTTCTTAATTTTATTTATTTCTTCTCTGGTCTTTATTATGTCCCTCCTTCTGCTGACTTTGGGCTTCATTTGTTCTTCTTTTTCCAATTTCAATAATTGTGAATTTAGACTATTCATTTGGGATTGTTCTTCCCTCTTTAAATAGGCCTGAATTGCTATATACTTCCCTCTTAGAACTGCCTTCACTGCATCCCACAGAAGTTGGGGAGTTTTGCTGTTGTTTCTATTGTCTCCATATATTGCATGATCTCTGTTTCAATTTGGTCATTGATCCATTGATTATTTAGGAGCATGTTGTTAAGCCTCCATGTGTTTGTGAGCCTTTTTGTTTTCCTTGTACAATTTATTTCTGGTTTTATGCCCTTGTGATATGAGAAGTTGGTTGGTACAATTTCAATCTTTGTGTTTACTGAGGCTCTTTTTGTGGCCTAGTATGTGGTCTCTTCTGGAAAATGTTCGATATGCACTTAAAAAGAATGTGTATCCTGCTTCTTTTGGGTGGAGAGTTCTGTAGATGTCTGTTAGTTCCATCTGTTCTAGTGTGTCATTCAGTGCCTCTGTGTTCTTACTTATTTTCTGTCTGGTTGATCTGTCCTTTGGAGTGAGTAGTGTGTTGAAGTCTCCTAGAATGAATGCATTACATTCTATCTCCCCTTTTAATTCTGTTAGTATTTGCTTCACGTATGTAGGTGCTCCTGTGTTGGGTGCATAGATATTTATAATGGTTATATTTTCTTGTTGGATTGACCCCTGTATCATTATGCAATGTCCTTCTTTATCTCTTGTTACTTTCTTTGTTTTGAAGTCTATTTTGTCTGGTACAAGTACTGCAAAACCTGCTTTTTTCTCCCTATTGTTTGCATGAAATATCTTTTTTCATCCCTTTACTTTTAGTCTGTGTATGTCTTTGGGTTTGAAGTGAGTATCTTGTAGGCAGCCTATAGATGGGTCTTATTTTTTTTATCCATTCAGTGTCTCTGTGTCTTTTGATTGGTGCATTCTGTCCATTTACATTTAGGGTGATTATCAATAGGTATGTACTTATTGCCATTGTAGGCTTTAGATTCATGGTTACAAAAGGTTGATGGGTACTTCCTTACTATCTAAATAAGAGTCTAACTTAATTCACTTAGTATGGTGTTACAAGCACAGTCTAAAGGTTCTTTTTTCCCCCTCCTTTTCTTCCTTCTCCATTCTTTATATATTAGATATTGCATTCTCTACTCTTTGTCTATCCCTTTTTATTACTTCTGGTGACAGCTATTTAACTTTAGTAACACTTTCATCTATAGCAGTCCCTCCAAACTACACTGTAGAGATGGTTTGTGGTGGCTAGATTTTCTCAGCTTTTTCTTATCTGGAAATTATTTAATCCCTCCTTCAAATTTAAATGATAATCTTCCCAGATAAAGTATTCTTGGTTCGAGGCCCTTCTGCCTCATTGCATTAAATACATCTTGCCACTCCCTTCTGGCCTGTAAGGTTCCTGATGAGAAGTCTGATGATAGCCTGATGGGCTTTCCTTTGTATGTGATCTTATTTCTCTATCTTGCTGCTTTTAGTAGTCTGTCCTTATCCTTGGTCTTTGCCATTTTAATTATTATATGTGTTGGTGTTGTCCTCCTTGTGTGTCTTGTGTTGGGAAATCTGTGGATCTCCATGGCCTGGGAAACTATCTCCTTCCCCAGATTAGGGATGTTTTCAGCAATTACTTCCTCAAAGACACTTTCTATCCCCTTTTCTCTCTCTTCTTATTCTGGTACCCCTATAATAGAAATATTGTTCTGCTTGGATTGGTCACACAGTTCTCCCAGTATTCTTTCATTCCTGGAGATCCTTTTCTCTCTGTGCCTCAGCTTCTTTGTGTTCCTCTTCCCAAGTTTCTCTTTCATTTATTGTCTCTTTCACTGTATCTAATCTGCTTGTAATATCCTCAACTGTGCTCTTCAATGATTAGATCTCCATTCTAAATTCATTCCTGAGCTCTTGAATATTTTTCTGTACCTCCATGAACATGTTAATGATTTTTATTTTGAAATCTCTTTCAGCAGATTGATGAGGTCGATTTCATTTGATTCTGTCTCAGGTGTATTCATAATTTTGCTTTGAACTGTTTCCCTTGAGGTTTCATAATTTGTCTGTAGTACCCTCTATTTCCCAGAAGCTCTACTCTATGGAGCTGCTCAGCCCCTGCAGCAATGTCAGGGGTTGCAGGGGAGTGGTGTTGGTGCTTGGCAGGAGGAAAGAGCTGTTTCCTACTTCCCAGCTGCTGTGCCTGTCTCCACTGCCAGTACCAATGGGCTGAACACAGAGGTGTAAGCCTCTATGCTTTGTGTTTGTACCTGCCATTGGCGGGGCTTCCCTCTGGCTGGGTTGTCACCAAGGCAGGGGCTGCCAGTTTGCGAGTATGAGCCTGGTGCAGGCTAGCCAGGAGGAAGACACAGCAGGCTGCATATCACGGTGGGGTCCTTGCAGTTGCATCACCAGCCAGGGGGATATAGCATGTGAAGATTGTTTAAGCTCCCAACCTGCTGGACAGAGTGCATCTGGACAATTTGGTCTATATGTCCTTTCTCCTGAGCAGTAAGCTCTGTGCAATCCCTGCCCCTTTAGCAGCCCTTTCCTTTTTAGGAAGTCTCTCAGACTGCCCACCCAGATCAGCCAGGTATGAATCCCTGTTTTCCACAAGCAGCTGGAATCTCTGTCTCTCCAGGTATTCTGCCTATCTTAGCATTCCAACCTCACTAAATCACTGGAGCATCATTCTATGTAGATTCATGCTCCCAGAGCATATCTCCAGGGCTAGGTGTTTAGCAGTTCCAGGCCTCCACTCCCTCCCTTCTCTGTTTCTCTTCCTCCAGCCAATGAGCTGGGGTGAGGGAAGGGCTTGGGTCCCACCAGGTCAAAGCTTTGGTACGTTAACCTGTTCCGTGAGGTTGCTCTTTTCTCCAGGTGTATGCAGTCTGGTGCAACCTTCTTTCCTGTTGCTCTTTCAGGATTAGTTGTACTAAATTATATTTTCATATTGTATGTGGTTTTAGGAGGAGGTCTCTGTCTCACATCTCACACCATCATCTTTAATCCAATCCATACCAACAATTCTTAAGAGGTACTTTATTATTATTATTTTGCCCATTTGAAAGGTGAGGCAGCAGAGGCTCAGAGAGGCAAAGTGATTCCTTGAAGGTCATACAGTAAACTCAGGAGTCTGAACTTGAGCCCAAATGTGTGACTCCATGTTCTTTTCATTCTCCAATATGCCTCGATTTCACCAGGCATCAGTTCTCCAAACTTAGACCTTTGAATTCAGGTCTTTGGCTGACTGAACTGCCTGAGGGAGGAGGTAATAACCCTCAGGTCCTCACTGAACTCCTGGTCTGATGGCAGGACAGGGAAGGACACCAGACACCTACCTGATAACTCTGGGAAGCTTCTATCAAAACAGTGTTGTGGAATTTGTGGCCTTCGGATTCACAACATATCAAACGGAATTTCCCAGAAGTAACAGAACTTCTGCTGGTACCTCAGACAGCTCAGCTCTTCCTTTTCTGGCTGCACATCAGAGGGACCTGCAGGTTGGATTTTTTCCACCAGATTCACTAACAGCCTGTTGGGCTTGAACATGTTCCTCCTCACAAATTTGTTTGCACAGGAGACGTTTGAGAACACTGATGCTTCCCCACTCTGAGTGATGTATCTGAGTTAGCACCCATGCTGTCAGTGGTGACAGGCTCCCGCAGAACATCCATGGAGATGGGACAGGCCACTTCCTCCTGCAGTTTCTTGGTAAACCACTGACTGGCCACAATAAGGCAGGGCTGCTTCAAGTGTGTAGAGTTTAGAAGTCTGCCGTGGACACTGACTCTAGGAAGGGAAGAGAAAACAGAGGAGATGGAGACCACCTCAGGGAATTTTCAGTTACCAGAAGAGGCAACCATTCCTCTCATGGGGAATTCCTGGAAAGGGGAAGGAGCAGGGGACTTCTTTCTGAAAGGTCATTCTCTATTTTTGTACACTCCTCTTGACTGTGATAGACCTTTTACTCCTCCACAGCACTTGCAGTGGTCTGTTCTCTTCTGGTTTTTTCCTCTGTATGTCATCAGTGCTCTGATGCCTCCAGGCCTGCTTTTAGTTTGGTCTGTTTCTTCTGCTTCTTTGTGCTTCTCTAATCTCTGAATTGCCTTCCCCTGTGGCTTATGTCCTGACCAGGAAAATATCAATGAGCATCATCTGGTGATATTTATGTCCTAATCTTCCCTCCTTCCCTCTTGTGTCAAGGGAAAAGAGTCCTTCCTCCCTTACCATTTTGTCTGGATCCTACCTTCCTTACCTCCCCTCTCTCAGTTTATCTGCCATCTGTCCCACAAAGAAGTTTAGCATTAGTTTTTAGCTAATCTTAATCTGAGGTCAAACAGGGATTGTGGGTGATGTCGTGATTATAGTCAGAGTGATCATACATTCTGGTTTAACTGGGACAGTCCCCAGGTTCACCTTTGTTGTACTGTAATTAATAGCACCTCTTTTCATTCTCAAATGTGTCCAATTTGTATGATAAATTACATGGTTACCCAAATTATAGCAACAGTTGGAAGCCAAAGGCTTTCAAAAATGTTTTACCTCGGGGACTGAGCCAAGATGGTGGTGTGAGTAGGGCAGCAGAAATCGCTACCCAAAACCATGCATACTTTAGAAAATACAACAAATACAACTATTCCTAAAAGAGAGAACAGAAGATACAGTACAATAGCCAGGCTACGTGTACACTTGCAAGAACCCAGCACCTCAGGAACAGGGTAAGATACAAGCCATGGCCCGGTGGGACCCAAACACGTCCCCCACACCAGCTCCCTGGCAGGAGGATAGGAGTTGGAGTGGGGAGGGAGTGGGAGCCCAGGACTGCTAAATACCCAGCCCTATTCATCCGCACCAGGATCACAGACACACAGTGCATGGTGGGCTGGATACTAGGGAAACGAAACAGTAAAACCTGCGAGCGGGTTCCCACAGCCAGCACCCCTGGGACAAAAGAAAAGCGAGTGCTTTTTGAAAGTCCTAAAGGGACAGGAGCCTCACAGCTGGATGGAAGTGTCCTGGCACACTCAGCCCAGCAACTGGGAATTCTGGGGAACTCCGGGCACCCTAAACCCCTGGGCAGCAGTGCAGCTCTGAGGCCCCTGATGGCAATAAACAGCCTCCCACCCATTCCCTCTCTGGCATGACCCTGCCATAGCAGAGCAGCGGCCTGAGACTGGCCAAACCCAAAGCTACTGTGCAGAGCATCCTCTGCACCACCTGGGCCAGACTCAGAGGCCCCGTTGGCATGCAGCAGCCCAGCACAAGCCACTAGAGGTCGTCGTTCTCACAGGAAGGGAAGGCAACAGGTAAGCAGGAACAGACTTTCTTCTCCCAGCTGACACATGCGCCAACTGCCTACGACTGCCTCTATCACCATGAAAAGGCAGAAGAATTTGATACAGACAAGAACAAACCAGACATCCCCTGAGAAGGAACCTGGGGAGATAAATTTAACCAATCTTCCTGAAAAAGAATTCAAAATAAAGGTCATAACCATGCTTATGGAGCTGCAGAGAAAAATGCAAGAGCTAATGGGTAAAGTTGGGAGGGAGAATACAGAAATAAAACAATCTCTGGAAGGACTTAAAAGCAGAATGGACAAGGTGCAAGAGGCCATTAATGGAATATAAGTCAGAGAACAGGAATACAGAGAAGCTGATGCAGAGACAGATAAAAGGATCTCCAGGAATGAAAGAATATTAAGAGAACTGTGTGACCAATCCAAATGGAACAATATCTGCATTTAGGGGTACCAGAAGAGGAAGAGAGGGAAAAAGGGATAGAAAGTGTATTTGAAGAAATAATTGCTGAAAACTTCCCCAAATTGGGGGAGGAAATAATTGCTCAGACCATGGAAGCACACAGAATGCCCAAAAGAAGGGACCCATGGAGGACAACACCAAGACACATAATAATTAAAGGCAAAGATCAAGGACAAGGACAGAGTATTAAAGGCAGCCAGAGAGAGAAAAAAGGTCACCTACAAAGGAAAACCCATCAGGCTCTCATCAGACTTCTCAACAGAAACCTTACAGGCCAGAAGAGAATGGCATGATATATTTAATGCAATGAAACAGAAGGGCCTTGAACCAAGAATACTGTATCCAGCATGATTATCATTTAAATATGAAGGAGGGATTAAACAATTCCCAGGCAAGCAAAAGTTGAGGGAATGTGCCTCCCACAAACCACCTCTACAGGGTATTCTAGAGGGACTGCTCTAGATGGAAGCACCCCTAAGGCTAAATAGATGTCACCAGAGAAAATAAAATCACAGCAAAGAAAGCAGACCAAATAAATACTAACTAAAGTAAAAAAACAAACTCAACTACTCACAAAAGCAGTCAAAGGAAACACAAAAGAGCACAAAATAAAACACCCAACATATAAAGAATGAAGGAGGAGAAATAAGAAGGGAGAGAAATAAAAAATCATCAGACTGTATTTATAATAGCTCAATAAGCAAGTTAAGTTAGACGGTAAGATAGTAAAGAAGCTAACCTTGAACCTTTGGTAACCACAAATCTAAAGCTTGCAATGGCAATAAGTACACATCATTCAATAATCACCCTAAATGTAAATGCACTGAATGAACCAATCAAAAGACACAGAGGAATAGAATGGATAAAAAAGCTAGACCCATCTATATGATGCTTACAAGAGACTGACCTCAAACCCAAAGACATGCACAGACTAAAAGTTAAGGGATGGAAAAAGATACTTCATGCAAACAACAGGGAGAAAAAAGCAGGTGTTGCAGCACTTATATCAGACAAAATAGACTTCAAAATAAAGACAGTAACAAGAGATGAAGAAGGACATTACATAATGATAAAGGAGTCAGTCCAACAAGAGCATATAACCATTATAAATATATATGCACCCAATACAGGAGTACCAACATATGTGAAAGAAATACTAACAGAATTAAAGGAGGAAATAGAATGCAATGCATTCATTTTAGGAGACTTCAACATACCACTCACTCCAAAGGACAGATCCACCAGACAGAAAATAAGTAAGGACACAGAGGCACTGAACAACACACTGAAACAGATGGACCTGAAAGACACCTACAGAACTCTACACCCAAAAGCAACAGGATACACATTCTTCTCAAGTGCACATGGAACATTCTCCAGAATAGGCCACATACTAGGCCACAAAAACAGCCTCAGTAAATTCAAGAAGATTGAAATTCTACCAACCAACTTTTCAGACCACAAAGGTATAAAACTAGAAATAAATTGTACAAAAAAAGCAAAAAGTCTCACAAACACATGGAGTTATTAACAACGTGCTCCTAAATGATCAATGGATCAATGACCAAATTAAAATAGAGATCAAGCAATATAAGGAAGAAATGACAAAAATAACACAAAGCCCCAACTTCTGTGGAATGCAGCGAAAGCAGTTTTAAGAGGAAAGTATATAGCAATCCAGGCATATTTAAAGAAGGAAGAACAATCCCAAATGAATAGTCTAAAGTCACAATTATCAAAATTGGAAAAAGAAGAACAAATGAGGCCTAAAGTTAGAAGAAGGAGGGACATAATTAACATTAGAGAAGAAATAAATGAAATTGAGAAGAATAAAACAATAGAAATATCAATGAAAACAAGAGCTGGTTCTTTGAGAAAATAAACAAAATAGATAAACCCCTAGCCAGACTCATTAAGAGAAAAAGAGAATCACCACACATCAACATAATCAGAAACGAGAAAGGAAAAATCACAACGGACCCACAGAAATACAAAGAATTATTAGAGAATACTATGGAAATCTATATGCTAACAAACTGGATAACCTAGAAGAAATGGACAACTTTCAAGAAAAATACAACTTTCCAAGACTGACCAAGGAAGAAACAGAGAATCTAAACCGACCAATTACCAGCAAAGAAATTGAAGTGGTAATTTAAAAACTACCCAAGAACAAAACCCCCGGGCCAGATGGATTTACCGTGGAATTTTATCAGACATACAGAGAAGACATAATACCCATTCTCCTTAAAGTTTTCCAAAAAATAGAAGAGAAGGAAATACTCCCAAACTCATTCTATGAAGCCAGCATCACCCTCATAAGAAAAACAGGCAAAGACCCCACCGAAAAAAGAAAATTAGAGACCAATATCCCTGATGAACATAGATGCAAAAATATTCAACAAAATATTAGCAAAACGAATTTGAAAACACATCAAGAGGATCATACATCAAGACCAAGTGGGATTCATCTCAGGGATGCAAGGATGGTACAACATTCAAAAATCCATCAACATCATCCACCACATAAACAAAATGAACAAGAATCACATGATCATTTCCATAGATGCTGAAAAGCATTCGACAAAATTCAACATGCACTCATGATAAAAACTCTCAAAAAATGGGTATAGAGAGCAAGTACCTCAACTTAATAAAGGCCATATATGATAAACCCACAGCCAACATCATACTGAGCAGCGAGAAGCTGAAAGCTTTTCCTCTAAAATAGGGAACATGGCAGGGTTGCCCAGTCTCCCCACTGTTATTCAACATAGTACTGGAGGTCCTAGCCATGGCAATTAAACAAAACAAAGAAATACAAGGAATCCAGATTGGTAAAGAAGAAGTCAAACTGTCACTATTTGCAAATGACATGATACTGTACCTAAAAAACCCTTGAGACTCCACTCCAAAACTGCTAGAACTAATATCAGAATTCAAGAAAGTTACAAGGTACAAAATTAATACACAGAAATCTGTTGCTTTCCTATACCCTAACAATGAACTAATAGAAAGGGAAATCAGGAAAACAGTTCCATTCACAATTGCATCAAAAAGAATAAAATACCTAGGAATAAATCTCACCAAGGAAGTGAAAAACCTATACCCTGAAAACCACAAGACACTCTTAAGAGAAATTAAAAAGGACACTAACAAATGGAAACTCATCCCATGGTCTTGGCTAGGAAGAATAAATATTGTCAAAATGGCCATCCTGCCCAAAGCAATCTACAGGTTCAATGCAATCCTTATCGAAATACCAACAGCATTCTTCAACGGACTGGAAGACATAGTTAAAAAATTTATATGGAACCACCTAAGACCCTGAATAGCCAAAGCAATCCTGAGAAAGAAGAATGATGTGGGGGTATCTCGCTCCCCAACTTCAAGCTCTACTACAAAGCCACAGTAATTAAGACAATTTGGTACTGGCACAAGAACAGAGCCACAGACCAGTGGAACAGAATAGAGACTTTAAACATTAACTCAAACATATATGGCCAATTAATATATGATAAAGGGGCCATGGACATACAATGGGGAAATGACAGCCTCTTCAACAGTTGGTGTTGGCAAAACTGGACAGCTGCATGTAAGAGAATGAAACTGGATCACTGTCTAACCCCATAAACTAATGTAAATTTGAAATGGATCAAAGACCTGAAAGTAAGTCATGAAACCATAAAACTCTTAGAAAGAAACACAGGAAAAAATCTCTTGGACATGAACATGAGCGACTTCTTCATGAACATTATCTCCCCAGGCAAGGGAAACAAAAGCAAAAATGAATAAGTGGAACTATATCAAGCTGAAAGGCTTCTGTACAGCAAAGGACACCA